GAGGTAGTTAGCCTTGGATAGGGTAACGGTGAATTTCGCCACAAAAGTGAAATATCTGAGTCTTATCCTGGACCCCAAATTTTTGTGGAGACGTCATGTAGAGGCGGCCACCTCCAAGGCTACGGGAACGCTGATGTTGTGCCAAACGTATAGCGGGAAAATCCCGGGGTTGCACGGGAGCTATGGTAACCTACAGCAGGCCTTCCCAAAATGGGGGAGCGTATGCCTGGGGTGCCGCTAGTGGCTATAGTATACTAGTGGTGCGGACAAATTCTTTAGACTTTCCATACACAACGCAAGCGGTTTGATCAAACGTCAACATGGCGGCCAGAATTTTTATTAAAATTACCTTCAGCGGCTCGTCAAACCCCACACACAACACAAATAGCTTGCAGCAAAGGGATATTTCGCTCTTAAGCATAGTTCCCCAGTACGTTTTGTCAACGTAAAATTGAATCAGAAAATTTTCAGAAAAATAGACGAAAACGTACCCTTTTCACAACCACTTTCGGTACTTTTGTAGACCTAATCGCGTTTCATCCACTTTTCTTCCCGTTTTTGGATTAATTTTCGCATTTTTTGCTGGCAGAGCTGTTCTCGTAACAAGCGCAGCAGCTTCGCGCACGTGTATATATTACTTATTCTTTGGAACTTCACAATCACACTGCCAAAGAGCGAATCAGTACGATTTTAGAGGCAGTCTTCTCGTGTTAGTGAGGTACCCATTCGCAATGCAAATCGAAGAAGAACGAAGTACTTCAGACTTACGCCACTAGCTATCGACAAATTTGTACAGAACAATGGTTTGAAATGGAGCAAGTGTGCGGATATTTGCGGTGGTTGGAAAAACGAAAGGAGCGATATCTAGGATGAAGCAAGAGGTAGAAAACGCCACGAGAAGTCACTGCATGATCCCTCGGTATTCCCTGGTGACTAGGAAGATGCCGCCACTAGATTTAAAACCCGTATTAGATGACGCTGCGAAGATAACAGAGGCCTGCGAAATTTAAATACATCTCTGGTTTTTTCTAGCACGTCGAAATTTTTTTTATTGGTGACATGTATATTTTAGAATTTCTGAAGACTCCATAAATAAACAAAGTAATCAGAAAAACGTATGTAACTTCGAAGTTAGCGTTAAGAAAATTGATAACAGCCGATTTCACTAGCAATTTCCATATAAAATTCAAAAAATTTAAATCATTGATCACTTAAATTGCTATCGTGAAATTATTTTCTTAGCGTCAACGCGCATTACCAGCGTTAACTTGGAAGGTTTAGAAAAAACCATTGTCGAATATTTTCCCAACATTGACTCTGAGGATGGCTTCAGCTGGATAACAAAACCTTCTGAACATCAGTGAAGACAGCACTTTGATTATTAAATACTACAAAGGGAGCCAAGAGAGTTATAAATGCAAGTGTATGCATAAAACACTCGTGTTGGCAAGATTGCATTAAAAATACTAGTGATTTTTAGGCCCTTATTATGAGTTGCATTCGATTTTCGATCTTTGCTGGTTATCGAAGATCGAACATCGAAAGTGAAATTATGAGCTATGCAACCGTGTCGAAATTTTCGTTGTGTATCGCATTTTCTGTCGAACAGAATTTTGCTTTCGATGTACACCATCGGCGAAGTGTTAGGAAATTGTGAATTACTATAATTCAGGGTAAAATTGTCAAAGCTCCCAATAAATTTAAAGGAAATAATGAAATCATCAAAACAATTTCAGTCCTCACATTAAAGCTAAAGGAGCATAAAGTTTGCATTGTGTTTTCTTGTTTTCGTAGACATTTGAAGAGTAGGGGTGCCGCGAAATTTTTTTAGCACAACAAGGGTGCCGAGGTGAAAAAAGTTTGGGAACCCCTGACCCATAGGGTAGGTGGTTGGGTATCCAGGACTACTCTGGCAACGGTAAGTCCGTTTCTTACCAAGATTAATCGTCTAGCGTTGGAAGTAAATCCTGAAGTCGAACCACCTCATCTTTCAATTGAACATGCGACAAAGCGAGCTCTCCTAAATTTCGCGAGAGAGGATTTTGCTAATTAGTATTATCATCGAAGAACAAGGACAAGCTAGACTCCCAGCTTCTACCAGCTCTGTTCCCCAGAGAGAATATGCATAGAAAAGTAGTTTTCAAATGAAGCTTTACGCTTCTATTAAAATATTGTTTGGGAATCCAATGAAATATTGCTATAAAGGGAAAATGACCTATCTAGAGATAAGTTGTTTTAATATAATGTCACAGATATATTCAATAAGGTGATCCGGAGTCCCTATATTATGGAGAGAGACACATCCAACACACTACAGTGGTATACAGAGGGCTCTAAGACCCTCGAGGGTATTGGAGCAAGCGTATATGGCCCTAGACAGAAGCTTTCTGCGCCCTTGGGAACCTTCCCAAACAATTGCCAAGTGGAAGTTTATGCCATTCCTCTGTGCACAGAGTGATAATCAGGCAGCGCTTATGGCTCTCTCATCCTTGGAGGTCAAATCCTTATTGGTACTGGAGTGCATAAATAAACTTAATGCCCTTTCTGAGGACATTGATCACACACGGTGCTCACGACACCTATGGCCAAGAGAAGAGCATATGCAATACCTGGGCCCGGTTCTATTATAAAATTTATAGAATATTTAGGGCTACTTATATGCACTGTTTTAATGAGCTAAGAGCACAGTAGGACTACTGGCCGCGGAGAAACAAATCTAGAGGATTACGAGCTCCTCCTTTTAAAAGTAGAAACTGTGGTATTGATCTTATATATACGACAATATAAAGGCTCCAACAGACTGCCTGATGAAAGGTCTTGCTAAAATTCTGTACCAGATGATTTCAAAATGGACACTTCACTGTCAGGACCTAGAATTAACAATTGCCTAGCTTAAACAACGCAATTACTACCGCTATTTTAAAGATCTCGCTCCCTAGAAAAAGCTCTCAAAGAAGGTACTCTGCGGGTGCAATCGCCAACATCAAGGTTATTCCAGCGTAGTCTGCAAGCTTTATACAAGAGACTTTAGCCAATGATCCATCTTCACCGTTCTGGGGTAGTCAGAACCCCATTGATGGCAGCACTCTATACTATAGCCTAGCGTCATCAATTTCTGGAAGAATAGACTATGTAATCCCGGAATGGTACTGTGAAGCGAACATGAGGAGGGCAATGTGTGTACTGCTGAAGGGTATCCAGATAAAGGTTTGGGACATAAAAAAAGCGGCGGAGTTATTGAGTAGTAGCCCGATACACGGAAGATTTAATCTCTATTATGACAGGCACGCTGCTGTAAAGGCATTAATACCACACAGAACTTTTTCTAGCAGTGTGGTAGAGTCATGATGAAGGCACTACCTCGGCATTCGACTAATACAAAATGTGTCGATTCCACTGAAAGTAATAGAACGACAGCAAGGCATATATGAGCCATTCTTTTTTAAGTCGGACGGATTTCGTAAAAAAAAATTATATCATATCTCCGATTCGCTTAAAATTTTTTTTTATGGATTCTATGCTTGAAATAAGCTAACACGTATTAGAGGAATTTTTTTTTATTTTTTCCTTCGGAGATATGATCTGTCAAAGTTTGGATTTTTTCATGATTCTGACTGATCATGTACTTCATCAAATCGTTATATCTCGGGTTCTGCTCATCGTAGGACTTCATCTTAAGGTCGTTTTAAAGCTAAATAAACGAGCTTCAAATTTCTATATATAAGATGGTCATGATTGTCCTAAAGCTAACTTAGCTATTAACCAGTGAACTTTTTGAAGTTGATTTGCATAGTGAAGACCAGTAAATTAGTCACTTAAAATTACTCCATCGTAGTCCTTGTTTAATTCTTTATAAAAAAATATGGTTCAAGAAACGGGAGTTTCTCAAGAACTAGTTTTAAAATATATATATTTTTTTTATACCGAGATGGTTTATTTTGTGAGAGGCAACAATTTTTTGTAATTTGTTTTCGAAAACTTATGGTAAGGTATATTAAGCAAGGTGTTAAATATCGTTTTTGCAAAAATTTAAATTTTATTCCGGATTCCGAAAGAATACCTATCCGGAAATAATATTTGTACGGCAAGATTTTTCTTTAAGGCGACAAAGCGAATCGGAAACATGATATAATTTTTTCACGAAATCCATCCGACTTAGACAAGAATGGCCCATATACGCGATCCAGTGGGCAGGGAAGGTGTGAATTATAACACCAGCTTGCAAACTTTTATGGGATATGAGCGAACCTTTTGGCAGCAAGCTCACAAAGTTTATTATAGAAAAGAGACGCTTGGCTTCTATTTAGTGGTGTACAAACTACGTAAAAGTGCACTAGTATAGGCATCACATGCTTTTAAGTTAGGTCTAACTTATGACAAGATGACCAAATGAGGAAACTGTGAATGGTCAGTTCTTTGTAGGCATAAAGAGAGTATAAAAAGTTGTTCCAGCTTGCCAAGAAATTCAACCTTTCAAGCACCAGGTCTCAGGGATTAGCCAAAAATGTGTAGTTAAAACTTTTTAATAACTTCACTGCATAGATACAATTTTCAGGTCAAAAAAGGAAAAAAAAAAATTAAAACCCGCTGCTTTTGAAGGTCACTTTAAAAGTCGAGGAAATTTTTTTATCCAACGAAACTATTTTTCTGAATACTCTATCTCAAAAGCCTTAAAACGCTATTGATTTTTCTCGCCAGCTTTCTCATTCTCGAGATATTAGAATTTGTCACGGAAAAAGTTCAATTTCCACACTGTGTGACGTTAGTGGGTTAGTTTGAGCTCCATTCGATTATTTAGATTACTCATTTATGAGAGTGAACAATATGCTTAAGCTAACAATGAAGCTAAAATTACTTTCAAAGCGTTAGCGATAAAAAAATGCACACTCCTTATACATATAATTATTATTTTATATATACATAAGCATATTATTCTTTTCGTATTCTTCCTTCCCTTTTCTTCAATTCACTTCATCGTTTCTATTCTACTTCTTTTGCAGGGTATTCCTACTTCACGCATCACTTTAACAGCGCAGGCGCTACCAATAGCCACCCAAACAGATATCGTAGATGCAGAGGTGCGTGGCGCACGTTTGGTGGACGGACCCACGCCTTTAGAAGGTCGTCTGCAACTCTATCACAAGGGCGCGTGGCGCGATGTCTGCACGAACTCCAGAAAGTGAGTAGCTTCAAGTTATTCATAGTAAACTTTTTCATACATTTTTCTACCAACCTTTTAGTTGGACGCTCGTGGACTACGCGGTCGCATGTCGTCAAATAGGCTTTACTGGTGGCCGCTTTTGGAATTGGGTCCAACGTACGCCAGGCTATCATCCACGCCTACTCTTTGAGCAACCGCGCTGCAAGGGTGGCGAGAGCACTTTGTTGAGTTGCGCATGGGCGACGCGTCAGCTGGGGTCTGGCGTGTGTGACTACCACAACGACATTGGCGTGCAATGCCAAGCAGTGCACAATGCACCGATGAGTTATTGGCGTGGCCTATACTTCGAGAATGCGCCTGCCACAAAGACGCTCGGTAATGATAATATTGTCTACACAGCGCTCTCACAATCTACATTGCGTTATGTGGATATTACACGCGCTGGTGTGGGACGAGCAAACAGCGTCAAGTCCGCAGTAGAAGCGATCGGTCTGCCACCCGTTATGCAACATGTTGTAATCAGCCACTCCGCCTACACCGGCTTCAATGCAACGCTACCACGCGGCGGCTTTGTCATGCAGAATGTGACTGTGCGGAAGAATAATGGAATTGGCGTGTTTGTGAATTCCAGTCAGGGTATGGTGCAACTGGAGGGTTGTAACATTTTAGAGAATGTTGCAGATGGCGTCAAGTATGTGGGACACGATTTACGTGCCAATGAGCGCATGGATCGCGCTGCCATCTATGACTTCTGCACGCTACCGACCACCTCCGGACAAACCTATCCAATCACGCTGTCCTTCACACAGAAGTATTACGCTGGTTCGGAGAAGGTGTGTGGCAAATACTTTTTCACGCGCCCTGGCTACCTGTTGACGGTGCACTTCGAGTCCTTTGACATGCGTAACAACGAGACGTCCACAATGGAGATCTTCGACGGCACATCGGACAGCGATCGCGTGCTCTTCGCTTGGCAAGCGCGCAACTATACGCGTCCGCAGAGCGTGACTAGCAATCGCGAGAAGCTTTTCATACGCATACGTGCAGACGCGCGACAGGAAGTGAATGGATTTCTGCGACTCACTTCGGATGATACGCGCGCCTATGACTTGCGCGTCGCAAACTCTGTAGTGGAGGATAATGGTGGACGCGGTATTGCGATCGATAACATACGCTCTAAGCTGCATGTACACGGCAGCTACGTCTCGGGCAATGGGCATGTGTCGGGCGTACATGTGACCAGCGGCGCGGGGGATGTGAACATCACGAGCAGCAATATCACTTTCAATCAGGGTGGCGGCGTCAACATCACTTACTATGGCGGTAATCGCAACATCTCGCGGAGCGCCATACAAGCCAACAAGGGTTACGGCATTGCAGTGTGGCTGAATGACACCAGCGCGCCAGAACGCATTGAGTACATACCCTTCAATCAAACAACGACGGTAGAGTATTCACAAATAGGCGGCAACTTGGAGATGGGCGTATTTCACGGCAACTACTGTCAGCCCATTTGGGTGAACATCACTGGCAACAGCTTCAACGGCAGTCTACACAATGATGTGTTCGTCGAATCTTGTTGGCGCTTCACGGCGAATAAGGAGCCGAACATGCAGCTGCAGATTGGACACAACACTTTCGACTTCAGTCAGAAAAACTCAATATTTCTAAGTCCCGCGCTCAACTTGCAAGGCAAAATCGAGTTTAATCACTTTCGTCTCGGCAATTATGGCGCGATATACATACGCAACGACTACATTTACCAAAAGTTCAATTTCATGCCCGTACGCATGCTATTACAGAGCAACCATTTTCGACGCAACAGTGGCGTTTACGTCGTCTCGCTGGGACTCTCACCGTACAGCACACGCGAGCTGCAGTCGCTACTCTTCACGCGCAACTTTGTGCGCGACAACAAGATCTCCGAACCATTTGGGCCGCTGATAGAGGGCAGTGTAGGCAGCGATGGCTCGGGTCGTCTCAATCCACGCTGCCGTGTCGCTGCTGCGGTGGTTGTGACCTCAAGCAATGTGGATATATACCGCAACATTCTTTACAACTTGGACTCCGCCTACGAGGTGGGCTCACAGCTGAGCGATCAGAGTCAGATAATCAATGCAACCTACAATTGGTTGGGCCACTCAGATGAGTATAAGATTTTCGCGCGTCTTTTTCACCGCAACAATCGCTACAATCTGGCCAAGATACAGTACATACCCTATCTGCTGCACAGCTCGAATCCCGGGTCGACGACAATAATCACAATGTCCACGCTAGTGCCGCGCTTCTCGCAGGAGGGCTCTGATCTGATTGGCGGCGAAATTGATGGGCAGGAGATCCTATCCTCCGGCACTTACCGCGTCACTAAAGATATCAACATACGACCGGGTGGCAAGCTAACGTTGCAGCCTGGTGTGACGCTGCGGTTCGAGCCGAGCGTGGGCATGATGGTCGCAGGTAAGCTGGAGGCACGCGGACGTCGACCGGATGACATATTTTTTACGCTGAACCGTGAGACAGTCATTGCCATGGATAATACCACCGACGTGGATCAGTTGGATGTCGATATTATAGACATTGAGACGGAGTCGATTATCGAAAAGAATGGGCCACCGCGTGTGGCGGTGCGTCTCGTTGGTGGCGCTGGCGAGTATGAGGGCCGCTTGCAGGTCTACTTGGATGGCCGCTGGGGCACGGTCTGCGACTACGGCTGGACGGTGTTGAATGCAGCGCTTGTGTGTCACCATCTCGGCTATACGCTCAATCCACGCGACTGGCGGCTACACCGCTCACAAATGCCTACAGTGGGCGTCACAGAAGAAGTGATCGTTTCGAATATGCGTTGCACTGAGCACGATACAGATATCACCAAGTGTCGTGCGGAGTATGCAACGCGTGGTGAGTTTGAGAACTCGTGTACGCATGACAATGATGTGGGCATGCGTTGCTATGAAGGCGCTTGGGCGGGTTTGCGTTTTAGCATGCTGGCGGAGCGCGCAGATCTACAATATCTGACTATCGAAAAGGCAGGGCTGTTCGACTACACCACAAATGTCTTTAAGCCAGCAATACAAATGGACTTTGCGCGCCACAATCTGGAGAATGTGCGCGTGGTGGATAACTTGCAGGATGGGTTGGGTGTAGTATACGCAGACATTTACGGCGGCAAGTCGGTGAATAATATCAAGAATTGTGAGTTCGTGGGCAATCGCGGTAACGGCATCAGCCTGAAGCAGCTGGATTTGCGTATACAAGGCTCCATAATCAAAAACAATCGGGATAGCGGCATCTCACACGACCCTGTAATTTCGGCGGTCGAGCAGAATGAGCTCGGCGGTTGGTTTAAAATGGCCGTAGACTTCAACTCGTTCGAAGCGGACTACGATCCGTATGTATTGCCGCGCGATGAGGGTCAGCTTGACTTGGATACTTGGCAAAATAAATACATATGCACCGAGCCAGTGCGCGGTGAGTCGATTAGCCGCAAAATAGTTGTGCGCTGTCCGGCTGGATATGTGCTGGGCATACAGCTGCTGAATCCCATACAAAACTTGTCCACGGAGCACATAGCCATACTCGACTCGCAAACTGAGAATAGGCGTTCCACGCTGTGGCAGCTAATACGTGATCTTAATGTTTTCCCTACGACTAGCAGCAGTTACGGCATCATCATCTACTACGAGAGTGGTGCAAATGCGCTGGGTGGCACTGTGCTGCGACTCTCCACTGTCACTGCACCCGTGCAGAACATCCGCAATAGAGTGGTAAGTGGACCGGTGCCCACGCTCAGCATACGCTCGACGAAGATACAGAAGAACTTTCGCGGCATTGCGGCCTACTACTACAATCGCTATGTTGGCGATAATGGCGAGTATTATTTGCGAAAAGCGAATGAGTCTATGAAAATTGTGAATTCGGAGATCAGCTCGAACCTACTCGAGGCTATTCTAGTTAAGTCACCCTTCTGGGATGCGCAGTACAGCAATATTTCTGAGGTCACCATACATGTGAATAGCTCAATGATCACGCAGAATGGGCATGGCATACGACAGCTGTCGAAAGACTTGCGTTCCTCGAACAATCTCTTCCACTACGTGGTGCAGGACACGACGGTCGAAGACAATGCCTTCGGCGGTTTTCAGGTCGCACTGCCCTACGTTTGGCAATATAACGAGAACTTTACGCACAGCGTCTACTTTGGCAATAGCACTTGGCAGCGAAATTGTAACTTCTTCATAGACGTCAGCGGCCATTACACCGTCTTCAATATAACCTCAAACGTGTTCCTTAGCAATCAGTGTCCGCGTAGCTTAATCACGCTCGACGGCATGGAGAAGCGCATCAAATTCGACTACAACCGCATAGAGAGCAATAATGCCAAGTTTATCATGGAGCTGCGCGCGGACAGTTTGAGCGAGATCCTCGGCGAGGTACCAGCGCTAATAGCCTACAATACGATCAAGGGCAATAGCATCGACACAATGGCGGGCAATTTCCGCAATGCGCCCATGCGACGATATCGTCCGCGCAAAGTGCGTCCACAGAATCGGTTACCCAGCGCAGTTATCCGACTAGATGGCATACAAAATGTGAAGCTGTATCGCAATCTCATTGCAGAGAATCAAATGGACTATAACTTGGTGGCGGGTGTGCGCTCTGCGCGCTTAAACAACTACTTCCACGCGACAGAGAACTGGTGGGGCTCGAATGACGCCAAGTTCATTGAGTCGAAAATATTCGACTTCGATACCTGGAATGATCACGCGGATGTCATTTACCAGCCGTTCCTCATTGAGGACAGCTTCGATGCGAGCGTCTCGCTAGTCGATGAGCACGATGCGGCTATCGACCTCGATTTCTGGACGGGTGGGCGCGTGTACAAAGATTTAACATTGCGCAAGCGTACCGAGCCGTATCGCATACTCGCCGACATTACAGTGATGCCAGGTGTCACACTCTCCATACAACATGGCGTGCAGCTGGAGTTTGAGCCCAATGTGGGCATTTTAGTGTTGGGTACGCTCTCGGCTGTGGGATATCACGAGTCGGAAATTGTAATGCGTCCCTTCTTCAACACATCGCATGAGGCTTACACACTGTTCACCAGGCGCGCCATTGAGGATCTGAGTCAAACACAGTCATACGATTCGATTCGACTCTGCACCAGCGCCCAAAATTGCACTACGAACCCACAGCTCTTGTTGGACGGCATTAGCGAAGGCTTTCTCGAGTATTTCAATCATACCACACTGCAGTGGGTGCCCGTTTGCGACAGCCGTTTCACCGAACGTAACGCGCAAGTGGTGTGTCGTGAGCTGGGCTTTGATCCGCTGAATGTCTATTATGGACACGATCGCCGCATTGAGTACCACACTAACTCGTTGACGCGTATTTGGACGTGGGTTCAGCCGCTCGAGTGTCGCGGCGATGAACTGCGCATGGAAGATTGCGCCGAACGCTTAAATGGACAAGTCTATGGGCGCCGACATGAATGCCGTTGGGATGATGGCTTTGTTTTCGTATCGTGCAACAGCGCGCCGGAAGATCAAGTCTACTGGGGTGGCATACGATTTGCCAATGCAGACTTTGAGGAAAATCAATATGGGCATCGCTTCCACGATAGTCTTTCGCATGGACCGATCAGTAATCGCGAGAGCAACTTGGAGTATGTGCGCATTGAGAATGCGGGCATATTGCATAATCAGAAATCGGCAGCCATACAAGCGATACACAAGAATCCGACCATACGCTCGGTGACTATTGTCAATACCGCGCATCATGGCGTCAACTATATAGCGCCTAGCGGCACCATGAATTTGAATCTGTTAAATATCAGCAACGCGTTTGGTGCGGGCATCAACATACTCTCGCTAACGGGCGAAGGACGTGAAAGTGATGAGTCGAGTTTCACGCCACTCAAACACTTAGATATACCAAACAAACTCTTCTCGTTGGTCGACATCTGTGATCCCCAGAAGGTGCTGACCGTGGAGGAACGGCTGCTGGTCTACTACAAGTACGACAACAACGCTGTGAACTGCGTGAAGATATTCACCTCATTGTATCGAGCCAAGCCGATCGGCTTCCGCTTACTACAATCGAATTTGTTCAATCACTCGAAGGAGTATGGACGCATGGATGTAATACGGCTCTTCGATGGCGATATCTACAACGTGACAGCGCATTTCCTAGGCAAAATTGAATGGGATAGCGGCAATCAGCGCAAGTTCTTCAAGACGGAGAGTCCGACGTTGAGTCTGCAGTTAATTGCGAGTGGCGCGCCTGAGTATCACGGCTTCATAGCGGAAATTGTAACGGTACCCATATCGTCTTTGGGGCAATGTAAGTAGACGAATGTGATGGCAACAGAGGAATTCGAGTATTGATTTAGGTCACCAAATGCTAATTTATTTCCATATTTCAGTCCGCGATGCGCTTCACAACGTCACTTACTCGCACATCTCGGGCGCCGTGAAATGTGCAGTCACTTATGCCTCCGCCGGTGAGGTAACTCCTACGCTAACGCTCACCTCCAATCGCATACAGCGTAACTGTCACCAATTGTATGGCAATTTCTCTACATGCAAATCAGCGCTGAGCATCGATGTGCAGAATATGCATTCGCTTTATTTTATGGTGAGTGTTCTAAGTAGAAATTCATCTGACTCATTCTGCACGCTTTCAATTCTTCCCCCGCCTCGTCACAGAACAACTTAGTCATGGACAACCAGGGCGGTCTGAGCATACGCGCTGATTCTCGCGGTTCAGCCACATCGCTACGCGGTTTCATACATCACAATTTATTCTTCCGCAATCGTAATCGTCCGGCGTTGTATGTGGAGGGTCGTCAGTCGTCACCGTATCAAGAGATCGAGCTGTATCGCAATTATTTTGCACAGAACAAAGCTGGCTTTGAGGATATTATTAAACTGCATCAGGTGGTTTCCAACTTTAGTTATAATTTTGTGCACAGCAATGTGGGTGGACGTATTGTGGAAATTTCAGGCTTTGAGAATGTACGTCTGCCCATCTATCAGACGACATCGCATAATGGGTTTTATAGGTATGTACATAGTGTTAGCGCTAAATATCGAAAAATATTGATGGGTTTAAGTCTGAAAGACAGTCGAAATAATGTTGCAGAGAACATACTCGACACTTCGATTGCCATGTATTTATATTATGTAATGACCAGCGAATGCCTGAGGGCATCCCAGGAAAATGAGGGTGCCTGAGTTATATTTGTCTAGTCTGAACTAGATTTGACATGCTCTCACATTCGCTTTCAAGGGGCTTTATAAATAAGAAGGTAATAAGTCGAAATTCATTGGGCATGAATAGTACGGAGAGATGTTATCTACAGCCGGAAATTTGCAAGTTTTTAATGACTTGATTGTTTCTAATATCTTTCCTTGGCTAATAATGTCTCTTGACACCACAGACAGTCTGGATCCAGAAGAAAAAAATTGTGTTCATTAGTATGTTCATCTCACATTTCATTACATCACACACATCGCATAACATTTCATCGCATGACGACATCCAGCTCTCTATATGTAACCTGGTCTACGGAAAGGGGGCTTAGGTGTCAAAAAATCTATTTTCACTTTTTGGTTGATTGATGGATGATGAGATGCTTTTTCACGTGGTGAAAAGCAGAAAATCCTAACTTGCTTAGAAGTGTACTAAAAATGCAGAGAAAGAAGATAATCAACAGTAACAGTAAACGTCACTTCTTCAGTGTTACTTTTTTAAATGTTCCACA